TGATGATGATGATGATGATGATGATGATGATGCGCACGTTTCCTCGTATGGGCCAATGAAGATCATGGCAACCCCCTTACCACCAAAGAACGCTCACGCTTCTTCCATCAGCCCTAACATTCAGCATTACACATAAACTTAACAACATGAGGTGTGAAAAATATGTAACAGCTGTGCGTCTTTTTTTTCAGAAAATGTCATTACAGGAAACCATTTACAGACGTTCTTAACCATACATTTAAAACAGATTTATTCATTGCATGCATTTATTTTGCTCGTCCCTCTTCGTTAACGCCCGGTGTCGTCTTTGTGTTTTCTGTGATCATATACCAGTAATGTTCACCGCTATTTTGCCTTACACACAATGGCGTTTGTTTTGGCGCATGGTCGAGGCTGGTTACCCTCTTGCGTGTAACTTACCTGACCTGGGTCGATGTAAATGTTGGTGTCCTTGAGTTTACTTATAAGCTGCAGAATCTCTGTACAGCAGGCATAATTCAAAATTAAAATATCGTAATCAGTCAATCAGTAAATGCTCTATCTTGTAACTGTATTTCTGGTCCATTACTTGATTGTGTGTTTAAGACTCGATAGTTTACCTGGTGTCTTCAAGGATTTTCACTATTATTTTGCCTTACGCTCAATGGAATCTGTTTCCGCAGATAATCGAGACGTCTCATATTCACTTGAACGAAATCCGTAAACGCGCCATCATGTTCTCCGGCGCTGAGTTTCATATTATACTAACGGTAAAGAGTTTATCATATAAAGGTAGGGTTTCTCGGCAGGATAAAGCCAAAGGATAAAAACGATATCCGTTGGGATCATATGCAGATAGAGATGCAAATATCAAGGGTCAAGTAGGGACTACTTTCACTGTTTATACACAAACATGGCGTCGCCCTTGTCATTCGACGATCGAGTCAGAATTAACCATCGGGAATCTGGAGAAAATATTGTGATAATTGCTGTCATTATTAAAAGAATGGTCTAACATACTGAACATCAGTGTCTGACTGTGACGTAGCTAAAGCATTTTACAATTTGGGGCAACTTTGGAGATACAATTTTGCGAGGGCACTAGCCAAGCGGGATCAGTCTCTGTTCTTGTAGACCACTGCGGCTTTGAACCTTTTCCACAAAATAAAACAGTTGTATTTGGCCGAACTATGTCCGAATTGTTACCGTGTTTTGTTTTGTCGCTGTGTATATATCTGACTGCACTTCGTAACGTTATGACTGGACAGGCCGACTGTCAACAAACGTGTCGTCTCATGGACTAGGGTTAGAGTAGCTTCCCTTTGATAAAGGGCAGTTACACTGTCGAACAGACCAATGGATTTCCGCGTAAGGCAAGTAAATACAATTTGTGTAGGCAATTGTTGTATTGCATATATGTACGTACGTAACTGTATAAGAAACAGGTTTCAGTTGGAACTACATTGGCTACGGTAACTGTCCGACTGACACTCACTTCCCTCTGACGTAATATATATTAATGCGCACATTCCAGGAAAACTGTTCAGGTAATGTTTGTGAGAGATAGAAATCACGTTATGCCACGTCTTGCCACAAATTAACGTTTTCGCGCCATGGGTATGATGCAAATAGGAATAAAATATAATAAAGCACGTGGCATGCCCCCAGTCCCTATCTAAAAAGAGGTTACAGAGAATATATGGACTTTTATATCTAGACTTTTGATTGAAGACAATTTCCAAATAACGATATCTGTCTGTCGCTTTCACATCATGTTACTGACCACTTCGATTTGCACCCATGACCAATTTGCATTACTAGACCCCAAAATTACAGCATCAGTCTTTACGTTATTGGTGTTGTTAGTGCAAACATTACAGACAAATTCCTGGATTTGTCGGTGGAATTAGATCTAAGTTGCAGGTCATTAGCGAAAATTAGATGACATTTCTTATCAGATTATTATTATTATTATTATTATTATTATTATTATTATTATCACTTTCATTTTCAATAAATAAACACTTTCCATAATAATAAGAAATTTCTTCCAAAAGCAGAGTCGATTGTACGATTCCGACTATACCAGAGCATGTGTTTATGAATCACTATCAAATCTGTATAAAAGGATGGCATCATGTTCTCAGTGACAGGTTCAAGGGCTCAAATAGCATACTGGTTTCGAATTACTTTCATCAATTAAATATTTCAGAAGAAGCTCTCAACCAGTAAACTTTATAACCTACACAAAATCTCCTCATCCCTTTTCTATTATTGCTAAACACATTAACACTTTTAAGGGACCCTGGGGGATTACAGGTTAGATTAGCTCCCCAGCAACATGCACGTGTGCTGGGCATCATAGGCGACCGATTGGATGCTCAGCAGAACGCAGGTCAGTTCATTTACTCGATGTATCTAACGGCTACATGGTACGGATTCTGGCATCGATGTTGACGTATCTGTATCTTCAGGGAGGGGCTGTGTAGGGTCCGTTCAACTGCATGATAAATCTTCACAGACCCCCCCCCCCCCCCCCGCCCCCCAACACACACACACACACACACACACACACACACACACACACACACACACATACACACACACACTCGTACCACCTCGATTGGCTGTTAGGATGTCTGAGCCAAGGAGAGGAGGAAAACGCTATCCAGTGTGGGGTGTTTAAGAACACTTTACGGACTGCATAACGGGCTGCAAGGTCAAGTGAAACACAGCAGGGTTGAGGTCAGATTCTGGGCTTTGAGTTGCTGATTGGAATATTCAAACACACTGACGTTTGTCTCTTCCATTCTGTTCGGTTGTAGGCAGTAGACGAGAGGAAAGACTTGACCTCGTACATCGTTATGGATGATAGAACTCGGATCAAAGAGATGAAGAGATGTGTAGAATGTATCATCCCCATGTAGAATCGTACAGTTGCTCAAGGTTCCCGTCGGCGGTACGTTCAGTAGTCTCTCGCCGTCAGTTACTTCACGCATGAACACGTCACCAGCTTCTGTCACCTTGAGGGTCGATCTCGTACTCTTACCAATATTCTGTATTTACTTCTAACATTAACTTCTCAGTCAACTCAGAAATTGATTTGAGGTTTGCAACCATAGAATATCTAAAACAAGTATATCTTATAAGCTCTTTACTCACACATCGTTGCGTCCTACAGTTAAACGTGTCCACTCTTGCAAGAGTCTGCAGGAAAAAGGTCTAACTTGCTTCAGTGATTCTAACCAGTGGATGTCGTGGTCGTACCCTCCTTTTTTATTCGATAGGTTTATACCGGACAAGACGCATTTGGAATCATGACGAGTGATTGTGCGTGGGCATATAGAGTTCATGACGCACTGGGAATCATAGCGAGTGATTGCGTGCGGGCATATAGAGTTCATGACGCACTGGGAATCATAGCGAGTGATTGCGTGCGGGCATATAGAGTTCATGACGCATTGGGAATCATAGCGAGTGATTGCGTGCGGGCATATAGAATTCATGACGCATTGGGAATCATAGCGAGTGATTGCGTACGGGCATATAGAATTCATGAAACACTGAGAATCATAGCGAGTGTTTGTGCGTGGCCATATAGAGTTCATGACGCATTGAGAATCATAGCGAGTGATTGCGTGCGGGCATATAGAGTTCATGACGCATTGCGAATCATAGCGAGTGATTGCGTGCGGGCATATAGAGTTCATGACGCATTGCGAATCATAGCGAGTGATTGCGTTCGGGCATATATTTCACATGATGCATTGCGAATCATAGCGAGTGATTGCGTGCGGGCATATATTTCACATGACGCATTGGGAATCATAGCGAGTGATTGCGTGCGGCATATATTTCACATGACGCATTGGGAATCATAGCGAGTGATTGCGTGCGGGCATATAGAGTTCATGACGCATTTGGAATCATAGCGAGTGATTGTGCGTGGGCATATAGAGTTCATGACGCATTGGGAATCATACCGAGTGATTGCGTGCGGGCATATACCCGACATGACGCATTGGGAATTCTGATGAGTGATTGATTGTGGGCATATACCGAAACGGGACGCATTGGGAATCCTGATGAGTGATTGATTGTGGGCATATACCGGAACGGGACGCATTGGGAATCCTGATGAGTGATTGATTGTGGGCATATACCGGACATGAAGCATTGGGAATCCTGATGAGTGATTGATTGTGGGCATATACCGGGCATGACGCATTGGGAATCCTGATGAGTGATTGATTGTGGGCATATACCGGACATGACGCATTGGGAATCCTGATGAGTGATTGATTGTAGGCATATACCGGACATGAAGCATTGGGAATCATAGCGAGTGATTGCGTGCGGGCATATACCCGACATGACGCATTGGGAGTCCTGATGAGTGAGTGAGTGAGTAAATATGGTTTTACGCCGCTTTTAGCAATATTCCAGCAATATCACGGCGGGGGACACCAGAAATGGGCTTCACACATTGTACCCATGTCGGGAATCGAACCCGGGTCTTCGGCGTGACGAGCGAACGCTTTAACCACTAGGCTACCCGACCGCCCCTCCCGATGAGTGATTGATTGTGGGCATATACCGGACATGACGCATTGGGAATCCTGATGAGTGATTGATTGTGGGCATATACCGGACATGAAGCATTGGGAATCTTGATGAGTGATTGATTGTGGGCATATACCGGGCATGACGCATTGGGAATCCTGATGAGTGAGTGATTGTGGGCGTATACCGGACATGACGCATTGGGCATCACAGTGAGTGATTGAGTGTGGGATTATAGCGGACAGGACGCATTGGGAATAATAGTGAGTGATTGCGTGTTGGCATATAGCGGAGACCACAAGTTCTTGACCATGAGTGAGTGTGTGAGAGTAGGGAGGAAGTAGTAGCGAGTTAGTGTGGTCAGCGGGTGACATCAGTCGAAGTTCAAACACAAGAAATCGTGTCACATGTGACACTATGTTTGATTCTGCCATCTGGACATCAAAACAAAACAGCGGTTCATTCAAAAAACTTTATTGGTAATCTCTTTTGTGAGTGAAGAATGATTGAGGATATTTACACGATGATTTGTAGTTTTCAACATATGGCAACGTGATAGTCGGACATAGGTGACACAAATCTTACCACTAGGAATCAACGCAGCATTGTCTCAACTGAAAAACGATCATATTCTAACAAGTCAGTGCGAATTAACGAAATGTACCGTAAACAAAACGGATAGAGCTCCTCAAAGTTGCAAACAACGCTAGTGTATGACTACATGAAAAGTTGACTATGCTATTTGTGATCATCTATGTACATTATTTCAAAACAGCTACGAACTACGGAACGTCCATATTTAAATATTCTTTTTCACCTTTAAAACAAATGTGAAAATAAATATAAAACTGTGTAAACATAACAATTTAGAAATAAAAAACATACAGATTCTTGAAACACAATGATCCGAGAAATGACAGGCCTATGATACACGAGGTGGTTATTTCAAGTTGTGGTATGCGATTAAGATAAATTGTTGTTGGATGGCGCTTAAAAGTTAATTATTCTAACGAACAGGTAGATGTGGTATTTTTCATATTACGCATGCAGCTGCTAACGACGTCATCTTCACCCAGCAACACCGTTATCAACGCTACCGCCCCAAGTAGGCCCCATGAAATACATTACTTTTGTTCTCATCACTGACAAAGTAGGGCTGAATTTGTAAATGATTTTATTTTGACAGCTGATCTCGATTACATATCCATTGTTGTATGCCAGGGCACGCATTGAATGAATAGGACTGAAATAGAAAATTAGCAAACGCTCAGCAAATCAACATCTAAACAAATTTATATCAAAACATTTTAGAAGGTCGGTAAAAAGAACTTTGTATATCATGTGGACTTATAATATCGGGATGCCACATACACATTAGAACAACCGGTGTCTTACACATGTACATTGAAACACCTGGTGTCTTGCACATACACATTGAAACACCTGGTGTCTTGCACATACACATTGAAACATCCGGTGTCTTGCACATACACATTTGAAACACCCGGTGTCTTGCACATACACATTGAATCACCCGGTGTCTTACACATATACATTGAAACACCCGGTGTCTTGTCATGAACACCATGTAGTACAGATGTATTACCAGACACAACTGTCTCCCAACATATATATATATAGATTACATTGTCTCACCCGTTCTTAAATATAAGGCTAGTTTATCATCACAGCATACATGTCAGGAAGAGATCAGAGAGGTTCATGCAGAAACTGACTAGATTATGTATTAGGTGGCATGTATTGCCTACAGTGTTGTCTGTGTGGTACACAGTATATCAGGAGTTTATTGCTTAAGGACAAGAAGTCACCCGGGAAACGTGTTGGCTTATCTATATCACAACGATATCAGAAACACATGACCAGGCGGTCAGGGATCTAAACGCTAAAGTTGCTTTCAAATCTCACTGACCGTCTCTACGCGATCGCTTCCCCAATCGCGCTGGACCTTTTACTCCCGTTTCAGAGACAGGCCTGAGTGACAGGTTCACCTCGCTGCATGCTTTAAGAAATTTTGGGCCTTACGAGTAGACCAGTACTGGCCACGAGTTCTTTAACGTCCAAACATCAACATCAAAATAAAACTAAATTTTAAATGGCAGCAGACACCGCTAATCGCAGAAAGAAGCTCTGGCATCCGTTCCACAGAGCACGTAGCGCTAAAGTTATCGTAACTCCCATACTTTAACATAGACTTACGACTGTCGTTGCGCTACGATCGCCTTGTGGAACGGGACCCTGCTCTGGTAAACTATTCATCCCATATATCTTTGGTTTTTGCCAGTGTAGAATGCAGCTAGGAATGTACTACACCTAACGGGGATGGCAGCAACTGAGTGGAAGTGACGCCATCACGTTGAGTTCAACCATTACTTTGAATGATCGGGCTACACCGGACGCTCATCAATACCTCTACAACTGTAAGGTAACCGACAATAGTCGTTTCGTCGCTTTAAGGCATATACTCCATCCCAATGCCCTCCCCACACAAACCGCTGAGCTCAACCGACTTAAAGCATGAACCTTTACTTCAAATGACTTTATATTAAAGTTTGAGAACAGCAATCAAAACGTTCTACAGTGTAACAACTTCATTTGAGACAAAACCGACGGTTGGCGGACGGTGCGGGTTTTCTAGGTTATCAGAACCACGCCGGGAGACGAGGCAAAACGTATGGTTATAAAATGATAATATGTGCAAAAGATCATCAACTATATATATATACATATATAAATAACATCCGAGGCATACACTTCAAAATGTGTCGGTTGCTATGACTACACGCATTTCCACGAAGTAAAAAGATACACATATGAGGTATGAAATATATTCTTCTAATTGTCCAAACAGCGGTACCGGACCTGCCATGCCCCACACGTGTTGCCCTCGTGCGGAGCAGCTTCCTAACCCCGTGTTACAAACATTCGGGAGAATGTTGTCATTTACGTGGGTATTTGTTAATTTTTGAATATTTTGCAATTTGACTGTAAGTCTAAAAGGCTTTTGATTAAGACGAAATAACACATTTCTTCTACATTACAAAAACGTGACGGTATTAACTCAGATGGTAGCGTCACGTTAGAGACGTGCTCCCCCTCCCCCGGGGAAACCACGGTCTCCCCTATTTACGCATCCTTCATGTCACTAGATTAGTCGTAAACAGACAAGGAGATTATATATGTACATAATACCCTCAATATTGGCTACGAGTTGGATGCCACCTCGTCAATCAGTCTCGAAAACATTCACAAAAATAACGTCAGCGGCCAGTCTGCAACCCAAAAGACATATTTCCACTCGTCAGGGTCAGTTGGTGAACTGAAACACAAATTCACATCTGAGTTGCATTTTTCAACTGAAACGTGCCACCAGCCCCACCAGTAACGTGCCGGCTGTCTAGTCGTGGTGACCCTTGGTCACAGAAGACTCTAACACCGGAAGTAGTCTTGTCGTGCCCGGATGTTCTTCATCCATCGTCGTGCAACACCATCTGATATATGCTCCTCTTACTCACGCTGCCTTATCACCGAAAGGGAAGAGGTCACCCGTCCTTATGGGCGTGATTACACCTGTCTAACACAGGTGTGACATTGTCACGAACGGTTCTGCGGACCAGACATAATAGGCATATCATCACACCTGTCTAACGCAGGTGATACATTGTCATTCTGCTTCCTCTGTTGAGAATAGCAGCTGTAACTTACAACACTGTCATAATCCTCACTGTGTAGAAATATATAATTACAATCAACGAACAATGACTACATCTCACCCGCATATCACCTTCTTGTATTACTGGCGGATTTCCCACCTCGAGTAATACATTATGTACAAACATGTCTTTCGTTTTGAATTTGGACAATTCTCCAGGTTGCACAGTATCCATTGCACGTAAGTCCTGCAACAGAAACGACGTATGTGCGTATCCGTATGCGTCGTTTCACTGTTTCGGCCTTTGCTTTACAGGAAGTCCTGCCGCAGTATGGTGTCCACTCCGCATACGCCCATCACCATCACAACCACAAACGAAACCTTGTCACATTGCCTCTGTGCCTTTCGACACAGTCTCTTAATGATGATACTTGATAAATTTTCCGTAATTTTGGATCCATACTTTTCCCGGCAAATGGGGATCTAATAGTCGAAATGCAATGACTTATGTTTCCCACAAAGAGAGAGATATGCACCTTGCAAGGATCGGAAACGAACGGAATGTATGTACATGTGCCATGATGATAGATGCAGAAGCCGCACAGCTTACTTTCAACACTGCAGTCTCCCAAATCATCTCAACACCATCACTTCAAGTCTGTATCTAATTGTCAATAATGATATTAATGTTAACACTAAGCTCGTAGAACAGCTGCCAAACAATGTCCTCCCCGAATTAGAATCTGAATGGTCTTTGGGAGTACCTGGAACAGAAGAAAGGAGGTAGTTATATGTACGTATGTAACAACGACTCAAGCATTAGACTGCGCATGCGTATGAGTAGAGCATAACGTCACACTGTTACCGCTTTTGTTTACATTACGAGTTAATCATAAACAGTCAATTCACAAAATCTGTAAACATTATTCACCTCGGTTTTGTGATCGTTACTTTACGTGACGAATTTAAACAGCATATGTATGCTTCATCACAACACCTTAACAGACAAGACTTGCAAACTCGAAGCAAGGCAGAAGTAAAATCAGTAAAAAGTAAAGATAATAACTCTAACCTCTTTTCACGTTTTCTTTATTGGCTGAAAGACAAAAAGAAAACATCACTTAATAAAATCAAGCAACCAGCGCTGCTGGACAATATCAGAAACTCACGGGGGAATGCACAATCCTCAGATACAGGCTTTTGGAAGATTACCATTCTCAGCCGTGATGATATATGCAAATTGAATAGGTAACATGGCTAATACACATCCTACTTTGAATTAATGAACAGGACATTTGTTTGCATGCATTTCTTAAAACAAATACAAATTTCCTTTTGACAAGTTGCTGATTTTAACGTTCAATATGCTGTGCCACGTCCTTTGATGCTAGATGTGACATCCGTGTATGTTTGCATCAATGTTTGCCCACATCTATTCGCGAGTACCTGTAACAGTCATAGTGTTTCCGTGTCTTCTAACTGTAACAGTCATAGTGTTTCAGTGTCTTCTAACTGTAACAGTCATAGTGTTTCCGTGTCTTCTAACTGTAACAGTCATAGTGTTTCAGTGTCTTCTAACTGTAACAGTCATAGTGTTTCCGTGTCTTCTAACTGTAACAGTCATAGTGTTTCAGTGTCTTCTAACTGTAACAGTCATAGTGTTTCCGTGTCTTCTAACGGTAGGGGATATGTCTGTTGCATCGGTGTTCATCTACACGCTTTGGCATGATCCTGATAAACCAATGGTCGTATATAACCGGACACGTATGTCCATGGTGATGACTATATCTCAAACAGTGATGAAGGGGGACAACCAGGGGGGGGGGGGGGGGGGGGGACGAGCTGGTGATTCAAACAGCTGGACCACAAATTCTTCTGTGTCATATTGCGGGGAGGATGTAAACACAATTAGGATAATTGCAGAATGAACGGTTATAGATATAAGTTGGGGTTGTGATAATTGAGAGAGAGAGATACAGAGAGAAAGCGACACACAAACAGAGAGAGGGAGAGACAGCGAGACAGACACACACACACAGATTCTATCGTGTATAGGATTCGATGGGTTTTTTCAAAGAACTTCAAATAAACATTGCAATAGTCCAGGTATCAAATATTCGACGGGGTGTTCCGTGGTTGCTGGGGAAAGTTAAACACAAGTGCATCTACTCCTGTCGACATGTCCTCAGCCATCATTAAGTATATGGAGAAAACGAGAGGCCAACCGAAAAGTTATGGCTCGCATTATTCGTAAAGGTAGTATTTGACCACTGGACTACAAGCAATTCGCAAACGCAAAGCGCACCCAACATGTAGAGAAAATTATAAGGTACTTTCCTGAGGGGTACATAGCTGTTGCTGCGATTAACTTTCTACACATTGTACAAATTTACTGCAGGTTCTTGTCTTCCGTTAAATCAACACGTCTAACAAAATACAATTTTACACTTTAATACTTTATCCATTTTATGCTTCTATGTTTCAGAAAGTGAAGACATTTGCGATGGGATTTATGAATGTGTCTTCAAATAGCAGTTTCAAACGTCTTAAAGCCACACAGGAAAGTGCCGTCAGTGAAGTGTCAGAATACGTGTATGTGATGGTGAACACTCTGCCACAGACGTTCTCACACTTACTTTTCAATACGTTGATTCTTCTGCTCGTGATCTGCAAATCCGACGTCCGACACACATACATCCCAGCGTCACTCAGTTTAGCATTCTTTATTTCCAGGATGCTAACAATAGTTTTCGTTGTCAAAGAAACAAATTTCCGTATGTAGATCTTCCGGGCAAACTCGGTGGTCAGCTTGTTTCCGTTCTTGAACCAGTCCAGGTCATCGGGGGAGTGTTCCTTCCCCGTGGCATTGCAAATGAGATAGATCTTTTTCCCCTGTTCCACAAACTCCTCGCCAGTTATCTGGATATCTGCAATTTTACTTTCACATTTAATACAAAAACAACAGTAAGAGGGACATAATTATCACAATATCAAATAAACTCTTTCTCGTTAACTATGACACTCAACGACAAACAAGACGTCCAACTGTAACACCATGAAAGAAACAGGGAGAGCAAGTCTTTGAAAGGCATTTAGAAGTGATACACATAAGGAAGATATTTATGGATGTCAACTTCTTTATTACGAGGAATATATGCTTACTCCTTCATCAAGTAGAGCAAATTGACTCCTCCGCATTAATTGAATCAAATAAATGTTTGACACGCAGTCTTACATCTAGAGCAAATAATGAGTCTGTCATGATATCAAGAACTCATGTTATATATGGTACAGGAAGTCATTATAACACAGATAAAAACTGAAAATGATCAAACATCATGCACTGGACACGTTGCTCTCAGTCAACAAACTGCCACTTTAAGCTGAAGCATGCATGCACTTGTTTACCTACCCACAAACATGTGGGCAAATAGACTCAATAAAGTCACTACTTTTGTGGTCCCGTGTACGTTCACTGGTTATGATAGCTGATACAACACCGCTATTGATGTAGTTTGTCTGCACGGCATGCCTATCAGGATGTCACGAACAGTCACGCGATGAACGGCAAAGGATGTCAGCAGCTGGCAAATCTTACAGTCAACTGAATTTGGGATATATGTTTTCGAATAACCGAGAGAGTCAAAGATAAAAAAAAAAATTGCGAGGACATGAAACGTCATGGTGGTGGCAAATCGATCGTCAAGATATAGGAGTGAGATTGCATGAGAAGGTTATATTAAATATCGCTATGGTGATTATAGTGAATTGTGGGATTACTGTCGGTTACAACATAGATATGGTTCTTGCAGATGGGGAATACTGTTGGTAACTACATAAAGATGGTTCTCGCAGATGGAGAATCTTGTCGGTTACCACATAGAAATGGTTCTCGGAGATGGGGAATACTGTTAGTTTGTGTTTGTTTTTGTTTGTTTATTTGTTGTTTAACGCCGCAATATTACAGCTATATGACGGCGGTCTGTAAATAATCGTGTCTGGACCAGACAATCCAGTGATTGCCATCATGAGCATCGATCCACGCAATTGAGATACGATGACATGCATCAACCAAGTCAGCGAGCCTGACCACCCGACCCCGTTAGTCGCCTCTGACGACAAGCATAGTCGCCTTTTACGCCAAGCATGGGTTGCTGAAGACCTGTTCTACCCCGGATCGTCATGGGTCGAGTGCTGTTGGTAACTACATAGATATGGCTCTCTCATTTCGGGAAAACTGGTTCCTGTCATATATAATGGCATCCACATAATTTGACATGAAGCTGTCGAATGAAATGTTTCCAAATATTCTATGGTAACTGACAGTAAGCATACATGTATAATGGTATACTATATTAATGTTACAGTTACCTGATTACATGAATTAATAATATTCATCATGTCATCTCGTAACACAGCTGATCGCGTGACCCTTTACCTGGTCTTTGAGATAAATCTAGCTCAGTTTACCAACTATAATCTTATCTTCATATCAAAAATCTAGGTGCAAAATTAAGCTACAACATTGAGGAAAAGGTCAAATGTCCGAGAATTGGACCTAAGCACTGTGTCGTACTAAAAGTGCAGCCTTGCAGCAAAATACCAGATAAATAGGCACAGAACATTGAACATATCTAGAATTGCACTGCATGATATGTAGTTAGAAGTTGAAAAGTTTAAACAAGTCGCAGACACGAAAAGCCATGTGGACTATTGTCAAACTGAGTTGTGTTTGAATATTAGCTGTCTACAAATTGAATTGAAACCTGTTCTTGATTGTGTTTATCGTCCGGAAACCAAAGCATCCTGCTACAAATGCACATGTGTCTTATGAATAGCAATCAATAAACCAAATTTGGTTACTCTAAAAAAAAAGAGCACATTATCGCACCAGCGGGCGAAGGAGGCCCACTTCCAAGGGGCCTACTTCTCAGTTGACTGCCACGGACTAACATACAATATATTCAGGAAGAGGGAAGTGTATCCTCTGATCTACAGCTGCTGCAGCTTCAGGGATGCTGTGACGGATGGACATGATGGAGAGGTACAGCTTAGACGTTGCCACAACCAAGCATTATATTAATACATAGTCCCGTATCAGAGTAGACGGTCTGCGAAATTAACTACCCGATAGTGGGTCTTTCTCCAATAATAAACCAGCGTTAAATATCGTAACTAATGGTCGTGTCTGTTCCACAGGTAAATTAATTACCAGTAAGTGACTCGATTTGACGCAGGAAATAGCCCTCTAATAGTCTCCGACGGGGCTTAATCCCTCTGGTTGCCTTGTTTTTTTATACAAAGAACAACTGAGCAGGTTGTGTGATAGATGGACTTCCAAACTAATTGTGGTACAAAGGATAACAGCTGATCAGCCTTTAGAACATCAAGGCGTTTATCACTAGAGCAGTTCCAGCGTACTCAGACTGGGCCCACTTATCACGCAGGCACTGCGTATGTCCACAGAAAGGACCGTAGTCCACACACCACCTGCCATGTATAGCGTCTTCTGGTGATACATATGGCGTTATAGCGTCTTCTGGTGATACATATGGCGTTATAGCGTCTTCTGGTGATACATATGGCGTTATAGCGTCTTCTGGTGATACATATGGCGTTATAGCGTGTCCTGGCGACACACTGGCGTTATAACGTGTCTTGGCGAAATACATGGCGTTATAGCGAGTCTTGGCGATACACAGGCGTTATAGCGTCTCCTGGTGATACATATGGCGTTATAGCGTGTCCTGGCGACACACTGGCGTTATAACGTGTCCTGGCGAAATACATGGCGTTATAGCGTGTCTTGGCGATACACAGGCGTTATAGCGTCTCCTGGTGATACATATGGCGTTATAGCGTGTCCTGGCGACACACTGGCGTTATAACGTGTCTTGGCGAAATAGATGGCGTTATAGCGTGTCTTGGCGATACACAGGCGTTATAGCGTCTCCTGGTGATACGCATGGCGTTATAGCGTGTCCTGGCGAAACACATGGCGTTATAGCGTCTCCTGGCGATACACATGGTGTTATAGCGTGTCCTGGCGATACACAGGCGTTATAGCGTCTCCTGGTTGTACACATGGAGGCAAACCACCATATTGCGATACATACGGCGTTTTTCTGTTTCCTGGCGATATACAAGGCGTTATAGCGTGTCCTGGAGATACACATGGCGTTATAGCGTTTCCTGACGATACAGAGATCGTTATAGCGTCTCCTGGCGATCTATTAAGCGATACACATGACGTTATAGCGTCTCCTGTTGATACACATGGCATTATAGCGTTTCCTAGACATACACATGGCATTATAGCGTCTCCTTGCGATACACATCGCATTATAGCGTCTCCTTGCGATACACATGGCGTTATAGCGTTTCCTAGCGACACACATGGCGTTATAGTGTCTTCTAGCGAGAGGCCGTTATAGCGTCTCCTTGCGATATACAGGCGTTATAGCGTCTCCTAGTGGTACACATGGCGTTATAGCGTGTCCTGGAGATACATATCACGTTATAGTGTCTCCTGGCGATACACATGACGTTATAGCGTCTCCTAGTGGTACACATGGCGTTATAGCGTTTCCTAGTGGTACACATGGCGTTATAGCGTCTCCTAGTGGTACACATGGCGTTATAGCGTTTCCTAGTGGTACACATGGCGTTATAGCGTCTCCTAGTGGTACACATGGCGTTATAGCGTTTCCTGGCGATACACATGGCGTTATAGCGTCTCCTGGCGATACACAGGTGCTATAGCGTCTTCTAGCGATACAGAGATCGTTGTAGCGTCTTCTAGCGAAACAGAGGGCGTTATAGCGTCTCCTGGCGATATACAGGCGTTATAGCGTTTTTAAGCGATACACCTGGCGTTATAGCGTCTCCTGGTGATACACATGACATTATAGCGTTTCCTGGCGATACACATGGCGGTATAGCGTCTCCTGGCGATACACATGGCGTAATAGCGTCTCCTGGCGATATACAGGCGTTATAGCGTTTTTAAGCGATACACCTGGCGTTATAGCGTCTCCTGGTGATACACATGACATTAAAGCGTTTCCTGGCGATACACATGGCGGTAAAGCGTCTCCTGGCGATACACAGGTGTTATAGCGTCTTCTAGCGATACAGAGGTCGTTATAGCGTCTTCAAGCGAAACAGAGGGCGTCATAGCGTCTCCTGGTGATACACATGACATTATAGCGTTTCCTAGCGATACACATGGCATTATAGCGTCTCCTTGCGATACACATCGCATTATAGCGTCTCCTTGCGATACACATGGCGTCACAGCGTTTCCTAGCGATACACATGGCGTTAAAGCGTCTCCTAGCGATATAAATGGCTTTATGGCAATACGCACGGCTGACCTAGTTCGCGGTGAGGCACATCTATACATACGATGTGTCGTTCAAATACACATCTAGCACAGAAGGGGAAGCTGTTGAGACTACATATGCCTAAAGGGACGGGTCATTAAAACTACACGTCAAAAGTCAATTATGGCAAATTTGTTTTGTGTAAAATACTGGGGGTGACGTCATGGCGAATCAACCTCCGGATGCCGCAGACGCTTACAACACTGATGGAAGTTACAAGTGTGATACTGAAAGACGAAGGAAGATCTTCTGTACGAACTGCCTGGGAGGATTTGTCCATGAGTCTCTCCGTAGACCCCACTCGTAGCATCAGACACCTCAGATCAAGCACATCTACACATTCCATCTGAACTTAAATCTTGCTTTAGCTTTTTCTTCCCTGTTTTCATTAACCAGTTCTGAACACTTCGCCACCCGTTGATTCCACAGAGATAACAGGGTCCTGATGACGCTCCAGACATGATGGCACCATATTTCCAGACCAACTAGCCAGACCAATTAATATATTAACTACGTTCCTAATGCAACCTGTTCTTGTTCCTCATCCCCGATCCTCTTGAACGTCTTTCCAATCCTAATGACCAGTTTGTATTCTAATTTGCATCCCCATCAGATACCTTAACGAATTTAATTACGGGGTTGTTTTTTGTGTATTTTTTTTCTGGTGAGGGGATAAAAACCAAGGTTTCATTTCTATCAAACACAAACGTCTTGAGGAGACGGGAACACTGTACATTATGAGAGATAAATGGTGTCATTGAATGATTAAAATAAATGTTTTAATGTATCCAAACAGTCACAACAATTTCAATCAAAATGGCTGGTTCCAATCACACCATGAGAAGGCCGGAGTGCCAATGTCGCGTCTTGACACCGTCTGGTATGAAGTAACACTGAAAAACGTAGGCAAGATTCGATTTGGAATTCAGCTATATACAATCCCAGCTCGTCGTGGACAAGTAAATAACATATGAAATCTGTCATTACACTATAAATTTTTCTCTGTTATTTTTTCTAGTGCTGATTTCATATGTGGGAATACAACTAGCTGGGTGTGCTTTTTTATAATCGGGGCTGTTTTTTTATCAAAATAAATATTGCGAATATTTTCCGCAGTCACGGTCAGGATCAGCTCGACCATTATGGTGTCGGATGCAACAATTCTACTTACTTGTATTTCCGTGTGCCATGTGGGTTTTTTCCCTTTCATTGCGAACATGCACATGGTGGTATGTGAAACGTGAATCATACAGCGAATTATGAACAGAACCAAGGTAACTAGTCACACATATACATACAGAGAAGCCAAGACAACATATTCATCATCACCCCCAAAGGTCGCTTGTTATGTTTTTGTCAAGTAAAGAACCCGTGGAGCAGTTTCTTTCAATGGAAAGCTCTGAAGTAATTATCACTTTTTCCAAATGTCGTGATGGGGAGGGTGTCGCTAACCAGGCCACCGTCTGCCGTGGCTGATGCCGTACCACAACGTAAAGACAGGCAGCATTCCGACAGGGGTTTGGAAGATAAGTGTTACACGAGAGGGAAATGTTACACTCGACGTAAAATTACAGCTCCAGTGCAAAGTGGTGAGAGTGAGCATTTGGCAACACATTTTGGTTGGAATTTTTGCCGCAGTTAAGAATATTCACACCACAATGTCATACAGACACTCAAATCAGCGCATGCGACCCAGCGTTTTTAAAAAACCACGAAGCACTAACTGGACCAACATTGCAAAGTCATACAGTTACAAAAGTGTACGTTACATAAAAAGCCAAGAGTATTAGTCGTGTAGGGAATGCGAAGTGTATACGAATCTGGCTTGTATCTATCAACAGTAAAAACACAAGACAATACGCTATGTGCGTGCAGCTATGTACTTAGAGAGTCTCAGTGGTGCCGAGAGTGGGTAAAAACAGATGGAAGAAATATAGGACGAGTCGCTCATATATGTTTCAGTTTAATGGATCATGTAGTGTCAAAGTATTGTGGACACTGTGCGCGATGTGACCATGATCAAGGCGATATCAACGGTGTTCTGTGTATCAGCTGATCGCTCGAAACGAGAGCTACATTACTTTGGAGTAGAATTCATAGTGTTACCGAACTAGGGTGGAATTCCTGGGCTCGATCGTATCGCCACCAGTGGCTATTACGAGTTATGTCCCTTCTATGCTTCTCCTATGGACCAATCAGATTCCATCTCTCGTTTCACTTGCATTGGCTTCAAACAAAATGGCGGCGCCATGTCAAGGCGATCTCACCGATAATCAAGATCTAAATTGTGATAAAACGGGTCTTAAACCGCAAAATGCATCAAATCACGCGAGCACCTTGATTAAACACATGAAAAGATTTGGAAAATATCTGTTGACAACGAGTAGGCGGTGCACATGCTTTGTAAAACCTGCAATCGACTGAAATCTGCACGACGGTTTACGAACCGGATTTCCATTTCGTTGCGCGATTTTGATTGGACTTTGAATAGACTCGTTAGTTCAGCCAAGATGTAACTCCATAATACCAGCCTTGTTTGGCAAGGGTGGAAAGTGGACTTTTATTGTTAGTTAACACTCTTGCTTCGGGAAGATGCTCGCAATATACTGGAGTAGTCATTACATTTCTCTTTCACGGAACCACGGGGTTGTAAGGCATGTTTGAATAAATACACACGTCACACTACGTCATAAGAACCTGACAAGAATCTGCCATTTGAACCTGGGTATACGACTGTCGCTCCTCGTGTGTGTCTGGTTGTAGGACACATCAGTGGTTGGACGAAGAAGGCGAAATGTACAGATAAAAATAAAAAGAGCAACTCGAGCTATTCACAAAACGATTCAAAATGCAGAACAAAATTGGTTTACCATAAAGATCATCTTTAATTCCCGTACCCGAGACACGAGGCACTGAAAAAACGTTAAGACCATGAGACATATGGTATTTATTTATCACTCCAGCTAGACTATGACGTCATATCCGTCTCATTATCATGATGTAGATGACCGCATACTAAGAACTGTGGACAGTGCGGTGTTACGATATTACCACAACTGCGCGCGCACACACACACACACACACACACACACACACACACACACACCTCTCCCCTTCACAGCCCCATGTTGGGTCTACTGTCTCTACAACTGGCGTGAAAACTGTCATGCTTACCTAACCAACAACTTACCACGTAAACTTGTACCAGAAGAATTCTTCACACTGAATCTGTACAATCTTCCCCAGACAATGAGTGATATCACAGTAACTTTACACAGATTGATCCACTGCTTTAACCATTTATTTCAACAAGTGATATCAATTCTACTTCATACTTTGAGTATTTACCATCACACCACCTAAAATCTGCTCACCACGGAACCGGTCGTTCGCGAACATTTGGCAATAAATATCATTGTCGTCTACATTTTGAAAATGTAACTATATTTTATCACACCTACACCCAACTACTATTTCGCCGATGAATAACATATGTTACAGTCACACCAATACCTTCCTTAAGAGGCCCACCTTCATGTTAATGTCTATATTGGGAACGTTTTAAATATTTAAAGAGTAAATGTCAAACCCCAAACCACAGACATAAAAACAAAGGGCATCTGTACATCACATAACGGTTTACCAACATCCCACAATACGCAATTCCTCTATGGCAAGCATACACCACTTCACATCTATCATTACAAGGTAATATCAGAAACAGGTTTACCAACTTGACCAGCGCAATACATGGGACTCGGGTAATTCCATCAAACCGCCGTTACACTGCATCAGTATTACGCCATGATGCAAGGTGGGAACGTACATCAATAAGGCTGGAAGCAGTGCACTCCTAATCCAAACCAAACATAGTTTCATGGGCAAACCAAAGCTACCCCATTCACATTTACAAGCCGTTAGTAACAATGAGGTGGTGGATGAAGTGACAGGATTTATATCGGGTTATATCCCATTGACTAGGACTTCTTGAAGTTCGATATCTTCCAAGAATTTCCAAGATTAGAGTAGAGACGAATAGATTTCATATACTCACTATGCTCATTCTCCCGTATTTTTGGTTCTGAAAATACAAACATTTTCCAGCGTTATTAGAGCTTTGGTAAAATGTTGATGTGAATACAAAACATGCCATCAGTGCTGCTCTGTACCAGCTAGCATGCAGTCAGGAACATTCACCTGCATCTGGAGGACACGTTGTCAGGATTTCGTAGAAATAAACTTAGAACTGAACATAATGCTTGTAGAAGACATGAACGGTTATGAATCTTTCCGCGTGACAATAAAACTGTTACACTGATTCATATATCGGTGATGCCACGACTACATAGGTTCAGTTTCCGTCCATCCAATCAGTGATTCAGTCACAAGAGTCAGATGCTACTTCCGGTGATTTTATCCAATGGATGAATGTGATGAATGTGACAGAAACTAAAGAACATCCCAGTCGGGTATTATTAGCTCTGGCGCATAAATCAATCATGCTAAATAACTAAAAACAAAAGGTGAAACTGTACATCTGGTCCAACATTTACATCACGTTAGTGTATTTGAAACAGTAACCCAAAGTCACATTGCAAATACAAAAATATAATCACAAAGCTGTAAACTACACACACACCAAGTCCTACCTTTGACAACCAGCAGGACGTGTTTACGGAGGTGGCGCGCCGTTGAAGCAACCTGACACTCGTATACCCCAGCATCCTCGATCTCCACCCGCTTGATCATGAGGTTCCACTGCCCGGTGGAGGGCGGGTGTTCAACGCTGATCCGGTCGTCTTCCACAAACGTCATGGTGCCGATTGTGAGAGGATTGGGTGCAGACGCTCGACGCCATCCCACCTGTAAACGAGAGAAATCCACTTCCAGTTACTTGACCAACATTTTGAAAATTTAGGGAACCATTTGTTTTTAAATTTGCTACTGAAAAGACCATCTTCCCGAGGTACAGTCCAGTGTCAACCCTTGCCGAACTAGACTGTAATAATGGAGATATATCATGGCTGGACTAACGCATAACGAAATCAGCATCAGGTTCGTAAACAGCCGTGCAGTTTTCAGTCGATTGCATGATTTGAAACGCATGTGTACCGTTAACTTAGGGTCAACAGATATTTTCCAAACCTTTTCATGTTTTTAATTCATTACAACATAGATCTTGATTATCGATCAGATCGTCTTGACTGGGCGCCGCCATATTGTTTGAAGCAAATGCAAGAAATATCAGAGGTCGAATCTGATTGGTCAATAGGAGGGACATAGAAGGGACATAACTCGTTATAGCCACTTGTGGCGCTACGATCGAACTAAGAAATTTCCGCCTAGTTCGGCAAGGGTGGAATCATGACTTTTGCAGTCAGTTAACTCCCTTTGCATCGGGAGGATGGAAAATCCTGGCAAAAATCATTTGCTTGAGGTATAACCAAATATAAATGAGTAAAAGTAATGGATGTGGTAGAGCTGGTGGTCCTGAGACTCTGTGGACAATGTAATTGTTCAGATCCACATTTGAGAGTACAAAAGAAACATCGGTTCGACATAATGGAGGAAACTATTTGTTGTATCGATATATCAATTGTCCGAGAGCGGTGTAGAGATACGACTTGACTATCGATAGGACGCGGTAATAAAGGTTGTGAGGCCTTCGATTTTCAATATTTGATTTGCTTCTTTGAAGATCGATTTGATGCAACACTGCAACATTCACGTAGGGTCAACGACAGGTTGAAACAGCGTTATTTCATTTAACCGGCTAATGACGCGGCTTCATTTAATCGATTCAATGGTCATAAACAGATAGTATATACTATGCCACTACGATAATGCAGAAATGGGATAATGGGTTCCCCCTTGGTGAACACCTGGTGTCATCACTAGACCTTGCACATTGTTTCGAACGAGTACACCTGGTGTCATAACTGGGACTTGCACATTGTATCGAACGAGTACACCTGGTGTCATCACTGGGACTTGCACATTTTATCGAACGAGTACACCTGATGTCATCACTAGGACTTGCACATTGTTTCGAACGAGTACACCTGGTGTCATCACTGGGACTTGCACATTGTATCGAACGAGTACACCTGGTGTCATCACTGGGACTTGCACATTGTATCGAACGAGTACACCTGGTGTCATCACTGGGACTTGCACATTGTATCGAACGAGTACACCTGATGTCATCACTAGGACTTGCACATTGTATCGAACGAGTACACCTGGTGTCATCACTAGGACTTGCACATTGTGTCGAACGAGTACACCTGGTGTAATCACTAGGATTTGCACATTGTATCGAACGAGTACACCTGGTGTCATCACTGGGACTTGCACATTGTATCGAACGAGTACACCTGGTGTCATCACTGGGACTTGCACATTGTATCGAACGAGTACACCTGGTGTCATCACTGGGACTTGCACATTGTATCGAACGAGTACACCTGGTGTCATCACTGGGACTTGCACATTGTATCGAACGAGTACACCTGGTGTCATCACTGGGACTTGCACATTGTTTCGAACGAGTACACCTGGTGTCACCACTAGGACTTGCACATTGTATCGAACGAGTACACCTGGTGTCATCACTGGGACTTGCACATTGTTTCGAACGAGTACACCTGGTGTCATCACTGGGACTTGCACATTGTATCGAACGAGTACACCTGGTGTCATCACTGGGACTTGCACATTGTATCGAACGAGTACACCTGGTGTCATCACTGGGACTTGCACATTGTATCGAACGAGTACACCTGGTGTCATCACTAACTCTTGTTTCGTGAGCGATCAAACTGAATCGTATAAAGTCTATTCTTTTGTTTCCCCAAGGCCTGTCGCTGTTGTGCTATGTTGTGTTTATGGTATATTGGAAAAAAACGTTGCTGTATTTATGGGGACAAGTGCTAAAAAACGCTGCACGTCGCTGAGAAGACTTGCTAATACCATGGTACTGGATTCAAACCCTAAATGTGCCCGGTCTGACCGCACCATAACCGCCGTGTCCATTTGTTTCCTCAAAGTGGTAAACGTATACTGAACAACAAAAGTTCCTGCGACATTGAATAAGATTTAATGCAAAGTTATGTTTTTTACCAAATCTGAAACAATTTCCCTTTGCAACAAATAAAAGACTTCTGGAAGTGTTCAAATGGTTTAACTTGCCATACCGACTTCAGAAAATGCGTGTTTCATTTTACAAATCAATAGCTTGTGTGTCCACCTCTGGTTGTGATGCAAGCAACACATCTTCGTCTCATGGAATGGACCAGGCGTCGCACAAGGTCCTGGGGGATATCTGTCCATATATGCTGGAGCATGTTTCGAAGTTCCTGGAGTGTCTGTGGAACATATGGTTGACGTCGAAGGTGCCGATTCATCTCATCCCACATGTGCTCGATTGGTGACAGATCAGGGGAGCGAGCCGGCCGGGGGATGACAATCGCATTGTTTTGTTGAAGGGAATCCTGAACAAGTCGAGCAATGTGAGGCCGGGCGTTGTCATGTTGAAAGGTACTGCCTGGGCCATGACGACGCAAAAACAGTAGAACAACAGGGCTGATGATCTCGTCGCGGTCGCGCTGTCCATTGAGATTTCCGTCTACCACTATCAAACGGGTCCTCTGTCTTGCTGTAAGCCCATCCCATACCATAACGCTGCCGCCCCCGAACCGATCTTCTTCCATGACACAATGATTGACGTAACGTTCACCTCAACGTCGGTACCCTCGAATCCGTCCATCGCTGTGGCTGAGGTGAAAACGTGACTCGTCAGTGAATAGAACTTGTCCCCACTGCGTGGCCGTCCAGCGTAGACGCTGTCTGCACCACTGTAGACATGCTTCACGGTGGTTTCCTGTCAAAATGGGACGTCTGGAGGGTCTTCTGGCGACAATCCCTGCACATCTGAGGCGACGACGTACGGTTTGTGAAGATATTCGTCGAAGGCCAGGGATGCTTCTTGCAGTCACTGTAGGTGTGCTGTTCGAATCCAGTTGTCTTGTCGATTATTGGTTACGCGTGGCCTGCCACTCCGAGGATGATCTCTGACTACATTCGTCTGTTGCCAATGTTGCCATAAACACCAAATGGTGTTTCTGTGGACGTTAATTTGTCTTGCATCATCACGTTGACTCGATCCTGCTTCAAGAATACCAATGGCTCGCAGACGCCCATTTTCGGACATTTTTTTCTGAGTGGTTGTTGTCAGCACGATGCTAAACAATGCATATGGAATTCCGTTAACGCACATGTTTTTATACCCATTCTTGGGTAATGAAATGCATGGGGCTTGCATAAAAGTCAATTTTTGCATGGAATGCATGCTTTTCTGTAGCATTTGCGTTTTTGTGACTTGATTCCATACATGTACTACAATATTGAAAACCAAACTTTACTTGTTTGTTACTTGCTTGTATATTAGAGCATGTGAGCATGTGTGATGCATACCACACCACACCACCACCCACTATTCCACATCACACTACCTCACACCATACCACATCACACTACCACACACTACACCACACCACCAATCCATATCACACCACACCACACGAACATACACTACACTGCACCACAAATCCACATCACACAACACCAACACACACTACACAACACTACACTGCATCACCAATCCACATCACACCACACCAACACACTACACCACACCACCAATCCACATCACACCACACCAACACACACTACACTATTTCTTCTTTCAAAGTCTCAAAGCTTAGTAAATAACTCCTCACGCAAACCGCACATCCAAAGCGCTAAATATTTTGGGGTGTCTCTCGGCTGATGACGATGGATCCGAATGATTATCTGGCAGTGCATATTGATTGCTTTCAGTCTTCACAATTAAGTTTCACTTCCCTACGGAACACAAGCAGACAAATCAAATGATTCCTTATTACAAAGAAATAAGCTGAAGCACCTTATGGGAGTGTTTTTTTTAGTTCCACTAGTTTGGCATTGTATAGCATTAACTAAATTAATTTCATACACCGCGGCTTGACGTCATGGGGAGCTGCCGGTGATGAGGCGCTGACGGGGATTCTAGTGTATCGGGAAACGCTCTGCCAACATCTTATCGCCAATGTATCTGGGTCTACATTTAATTGTCTCACACCTGGTACCTCATTTCTATCTGGAAATCGCATGGATATGTTGCGTGCGGTTACAGTGCACTAAAATGGCAAAATAACTCTTAACAAAGTCAGTACCCGCAGCAACGAGTGTTAAGATTAGTTTAACCACAGGGCATTCCTCTTCTTCTAAAGCAATGGCAAGCCAATTTTACACCTTGCAACTTCAAAAGTTCTCTAAGCCTTCTTGAGTGGGAAATCCGCTTTAGAACCCAAACTGCATCACTTTATTAATACGATAAAGCATGTTAGACTCCTCAACTGAAACATCATCTACACTGTTATTGACATAAAATTGAATACATCGCACGCCATCTATAATCAAAGCTGCGTCCTTTTACCTAGTTGACTTTATGACATATTTTCCTATCAGAATAGTGCCAGAGCTAATGAAAATGATCTCCTTCCCTGTAGGATCGACAGTCGAGCGCCCAGTGATCAGTCGAGGGGAAAGATAATGACAAGTTATCCTCTCACAAGGGTGTACAGCAACGGAAAATAATTATGACGTCGGCAGCAAGGGCTAAGACCAGAACGCAACATGGCAATTCAAAATTAGTCTGCTCAATTTGAAACAGCAAGAGAGGAGAGGTACACGTTAGCGGGCGACATTTCACCCTCGAAGCAATCAATACGGCGTGGTGTAAATTTTCTTACGTTAGTAACCCCCCGATGAACAAATTCGAT